TTTTGGATTATCGATGGAGTATAGTCTTGATTGCTGTAGACATTGCATGCGGATTAGGTTGAATTGAAACTAATTTCTCATCCATTGTGCATTGTGCATCATTATACATTGAACATTTTAAATGTTTTGATTTTTGAGAAAAAAGGGTGTATACGTAGTGAATCTAGTTAGAGGGTGTGGTTGCGGTTTATATTGTTGGCCTATGTGTCCTTGGTGAAAGTCCAGAAACCCGTGTGGTTAGGTGCTGATTCTTCTGGTTAGTACTGGTAAAATGGCTTTGGTAGTACTTGTATAGCCTACTTGCAGACATATACCTAGAGATTCCCAGTGTGTTGTATCCACTGCCCTATTTTCTGTATAAAAATATTATTTTTCACGAATTGATATATAATCTGGCATTGCATAGTTTTGAGATGGAAAACAGAAATGTTTGGAAATTGGCATTCATTGTGCATTCACCTTATGATTTTGCTAAAATTCATATACTGTGTTAGAGTATTTCTATTGGACTTTGGCTCACCCTATGTGGAAAACAACTTTCGGGTGCTGATGATATGCCTCTGCCAAGGACATAGCTTGGGAGGACTCGGAGCTTAAGGCTTCCTTTTGGGTTTCTTTGTATTTTGATTAAGCCTCGGGCTTTACATGTATGGAGTTTAAACTCATTTTGATGTAACCAAACATCGTCTTGGAAAGTTGTAAGCCAATAGGGCATTTCATTATTTGATTTTAATTTCCTTTCTACTCTTATATTGATGTCATATGCTATAGATTCGGAATCTAGGATTCATGAGTATATATTGCATGTCACCTTTTGTAATGATCAAAGATAAAAGGAATGGAAGATATCCGATTACTGATCAATTGACTTATTGTTATGAGTTGGGTTTTATGTTAATTATTTTGGCACGTTACATTCCCTTTGTCCTCTCCCGCCTGCTTGATTGAACCTTGCAGGGTGTGTATCTACTCAACTCTCATTGTTAAGAGAGTTAAAATCTTCGACACAGTCCTTGGCTTTTGTCATTTTATGGCCTTTTTTTTCAACCTTGTCTTCCACCACTTTCTCCACTAAGCATTCTTGCATTGCCTATATGAAGGTGGTTAGATTGTTAGAAGAGGATGATTGAAAAAAAAAAAAAAAAAAAAAAAATTAAAATTTAGAGGGAAAAGAGAGAAGTTTAAGCTTTGAACCAAAAACTCCCATTTTCAAATATACACTTCCATACACTAATATGCCATCCTTGAGACACCAAAATCATCCCAAAAACTCTGATATAGCCAAGCTTTAGTAACCTTTATAAAAAAAGAGTAAGTGTTTTTAAAATAGAGGAAAGCAGAGAACTTACCCCACACACTCTGTTAAACATCCAAAAACCTCATTCACACAAAATTTTCAAACTGAGAATTAAGAAATACACTTCCTAAACTTGAGGGTGATGAAAATGAAGTTTGGAAATCAAATCATTTTCTTAGAAGGTGAATTTTGCACACTTTTCTTTTCTTTTACTTTATTTCTTATTTTGAGCTTTTTGCTTTTATTTCATTTCATATTGTAAGCTTGTTATACTCTAACTGGAGTGGTTAGTTAAGCCACCCACGTATTCCCTACTTCTTTCTGTCTTTGGTGCTTGAAAAGTAGAAAACAGAGTTTGCCCTAACTTGATTGGCTAGCCGACCAACTTTTTGGCCGGTCTGTCAACCCTTCTTGGACAGAACCCAGTAACCTCCCGGCGTTGAGCAGAACAGTCTTCGATGGTCTCTGAGGTCACCCTGAAGCTTCTGTTTTCTGTTTTTCTTTTAATTTTAGAGAGATTTGTGAAGATATTTTGTTGTAATATTTTCTTTCTTTTCCCCCTATTCGAATTTGTAATATCCAAATGCAGTAATAATTCCCGTCCCACTTCTTTCTACCTCATTCTTTACTTGCTTTCCATATCTGTATATATGTAGTATATTTTGTTTATCATCATATCTATGTTTTACATCCATGTTTCATGCATAGTGATTCAGCTAAATTGGCATTTGTGAGTTTAATCGATTAGTACGTGATTTTGTGTGCAACTTCATGTTCTTGTTGTTATTTTGAGGGCGTTACAAATATTTTCTTTCTTTTCCCCCTATTCGGATTTGTAATATCCAAATACAGTAATAATTCCCGTCCCACTTCTTTCTACCTCATTCTTTACTTGCTTTCCATATCTGTATATATGTAGTATATTTTGTTTATCATCATATCTATGTTTTACATCCATGTTTCATGCATAGTGATTCAGCTAAATTGGCATTTGTGAGTTTAATCGATTATTACGTGATTTTGTGTGCAACTTCATGTTCTTGATATGAATCACATGGCATGTTTTAGAAGTCGAATCACTAGTTGCATATTGTGAATGAATTGCATTAGAATCTTGTATATAGAATCATGCATGCTTTACTAACTTTATTTTGTAATTGCTTGCGGGACGCTAGTATATATGTAAGTTTTTATATTTTAGCATCTCATTTGTGTGTGTTTTTCTTACTATGTTTAGCATCCTACCATACAACTATGTGCTTATTTGATATATCTCTATGAATGCTTGTGGATGGAGGTTGTGTTGTTTAATTTGGAACAAAATTGATTTTCATGTCGCAAACTCAAATTTCCGTCGAGTTGTTTAAAATGCTTTCAAAAATACATGAAATCGAATTGTTCCAAAATAAATGACATAATCTATACTTGTTTGCTTCACATAATAATTTTAGCATTTATTAAATAAATCGAATTGTGAGTATATAAAGTAAATGAAATTCATATCATGGTTTAGTAGAGGTTGATTTTTAATTAGGTGAGCGGGGGTGCTCAATTAATGACCCCCTCTCATATCTAAGGTTCCAAGCCAGACACCCTTGGTTACGACGAACAGTGGCATTGGCACTAGTCACGAGTTTCCTAATTTTCTCAAAATATTAGGTGGCGACTCTGAGATTTGGAGATGTAGCCCATTTCTGGCAAAATTTTTTGTAATAAAATGGATTTCCATAAAAGTTACCAAATCTGGACTCTCATCTATGTTTCACATTGCACTTGCGAGACTAAATCGAAGATACCGCGGGTTCGAATTGTTAACGTACGCGAATACCCCCCGGGCATGTTATAGCCAAATCAGCACATTCCGTTCAATTGTAGATAAAATGTGACGGCATATGTCAAATTGATCAAAATTTTGAAAGTTTAGGTGTAAAATTGATATTAATCGAAGTATAGGGGTCAAATTGAAAAACGCAAGAAAGTTTGGGGGCAAAATGATATTTTCTCTAAAAAAATATCCACTAGACCTCATGCCTTATACACCCCTTAGATTGGATTTATCATCAATTTACTCTATATTCAAATACAAATTAAAATCTTATTTATTTATTTTTATTTTCTTGATCAATATAATAATAATTATTATTAAATTATAAAAATAAAATTTTTTTTATTTTAAATGGAAGTGAGGAGACAAGAAGTGAGTTGGAAACTTGACTTAGAAATAAGTGTCACATATTTTTTTAAAATTTTAGATTTTTTAGAAAAGTAGGAATGGAGATTTGGAAACTTAAACACATCTATTACATTTGTTTATATAGATAGTATAGATAGATAGATATGTTGTAGTTAGTACGGTTATACACATATACATGAAAGAACATTTAGTATATGGAAGGAGAAAAATAAAATGTAATTAAATTTATAAATGTGTGAATATGATATGCACAGAGATTAAATGGTATGTGAACATAAAATTACTCACAAAACACTCACTTGTCCCTCAACTCCGCAAACAAGTTTTGTACAACCTAAAGAATGAAAAGAAATAAGTAAATTACAAATACATCTCCTCAAATTTATTAAAATATAATGTTCGGTTTGGTTTGATTTTTCAAAAACTGTTTTAAAATGAATTTTTGTTTATGTTTAGTGAATTTTTTTTCCCCCCATGTCTTAGTCAATTTTTAGTATTTTTTAGTTGCACCTAATCTAAACGCATCTAAAAATTAAATTAAATTGATTAAAATATTAAAAAAATTTACTAAAAATAAATAAAAATTCAAATAAAAATCTGCATTATTTTTGTTCAAATTTTTGTTTGTTTGTTTGTTTTTTTTTTATTAATATTTTAGTCAATTTATTTTACTTTTTAGATGAATCTAGTTTTGATATATCTATAAAGTAAATTTTTTTATTAAGATATGAAAAAATTCAATAAAAAAGACAAAAATCCAATTAAAAATAATTTTTGAGAATTTAAACCAAATAATGGCTAAACTTTCTCCTCACATTGGAGAAATTTTATCATACCAATACCTCAAATTGAGTGATGTAATTTCTCAAATGTGAGATTCAAAACACTTTTTATTAGTTTCATAATAATTTTTATTAATTTAAAAATATTATTTAATTTTTCCATCTTTTTCAAAATATTATCTTATAGTAATTTCAACGTTAACAATAGAGGAAATATCATTTTACCCCTTAAATTTTCATGAATTTTTCAATTTGATTCAAGACTTTGATTAATATCAATTTTATACTCAAACTTTTAAAATTTTGATCAATTTAGCCCATTTCGTCTATAATTGGACAGAATATGCTGACGTGATACCAAAATTCATTTGGAATTTTATTTTACTCCCTAAATTATACCTTAAAAATCAACTTGTCCCTCAAATATAAAAAAAAAATTAAATTTAATATTTGAGGGACAAATTAATTTTTAAGGTATAGTTTGGAAATAAAATAAAATTTCAATTGAATTTTGGTGTCATATCAATACAATTTATTTAATTGTGAACGAAATGTGACGGCAATGGCCAATTTAACTGTAAAATTGATATTAATTAAAATCTGACATCAAATTAAAAAATTTATGATAATTTGAGGGGGTAAAATGATATTTAGGGGATATTTTTCAGCACTTGCCGACTAATTGTCATTGTCAGTGGTATGCTTGCTCGCCGGCAGCAAACAATACTCAAGTTGTTGACTTTCCAAAATAATAAAAGGAGATGAAATGGCATCACAATTCCATAGCTAAACTGGTGAGTTATTGATAATCTCCATGGTTGGGGGTTCAGTTTCATGAGAGAGAGATGGCTGAAACATCAGTGGATTTGCTCATGGAGAATTTGAAGGAGCTAATGAAGAGCAAGATTGATTTGATTCTTGATGAGAAGGATCAAATTGAATCTCTTTACCAAGAGTTTGGGTTCCTGAGAAGCTTCCTCAAGGACTGGGAGGACAAACTCTGTGAGGCTAAGGAAGTGAGTAACATGGTGAGACGAATTAGAGATTTGGCGAACGAGGTAGAAGATACCATTGATTTGTTAGTTGTTGAGGCTAGCTTGAAGGATACTTATAAATCAGGCAAAGTGGATCATGTATGTGATCTCTCTTTGAATCTTGGCAATTTCAAAGAAGAGATTGAGGCCATTAAAACAGAGTTGACAGAGATTTATAGCAACAAGAGTCATGACATTGGGCCCATGCAAGAAAGGAAGCCTTCCCGCGGAGATTTCTCGAGAGCAAAGAGCATTGTGGGGGAGGAAGAAATAGTGGTGGGTTTTGAGGATGAGGCCTTGACGATAAAAGATCGACTTACTAGAGATCAAAAGCAGCTAGATACTATCTCGATTGTGGGGATGCCTGGACTAGGTAAGACAACTCTAGCCAAAAAAGTGTATAATGATCCTTTGATAATATATCACTTTCATATTCGTGCATGGATCAATGTTTCCCAAGAATACCGGAAACGAGATGTGTTACTTAGTCTATTTTATTCTATTAGCCCCCATACAAGTAGGGCTAATTCAGCTGGCCAAAATTCTTGCACTTCATTAGGAGGTCAAGGGTTCGAGTCTGGTGACATGCAAAACTCTCCAATCCCAGACTACGGCCTTCGATGGGCCAAAGGAAAAAAGGAAGTAAAAGAAATGAGTGATGAGGAATTAGCTGACAAGCTGAGAAAAAGCTTAAAAGGTAAGAGGTATCTCATTGTGATGGATGATATTTGGGATACTAGGGCTTGGATTGATTTGAAAAGTTTATTTCCAAATGACAACAATGGAAGCAGAATTATGTTCACTAGTCGGTTTACAAATGTGGCTTTGCATGCTAACACCCATACTCCCCCTCTTTTTTTAAGTTTCTTAACTGAAGATGAAAGTTGGGATCTCTTCAAAAAGAAGGTATTTCGAACAGATTGGTGCCCTCCGGAGTTGATGTCGATTGGAAAGAAAGTGGTAATAAAATGTCAAGGACTACCACTTGCGATTGTTGTGGTAAGTGGAATTTTTGCAAATATAGAGAAGAGTCAAGACCAATGGAAGCAAGTTGGAGAAATCAGAGATTCATGTGCTGTTCGTGATCTAAAACTATGCATGGAAACATTTGCATTGAGTTATAACCACTTACCTCATCACTTGAAATCATGCTTCCTCTATTTTGCAGCATTTCCCAAGGACTTTGAAATCCCTGTGTGGAAGTTGACACAATTATGGGTTGCTGAGGGATTCATACGAAATATTGGGGAAAGCAGCTTGGAGGATGTTGCAGAAGAATACTTGATGGATCTAATAGGTAGAAATCTCATATTAGTTTCAAAAAGAAGGTCTGATGGTAGAATCAAAGCTTGCAGTGTCCATGCTCTGTTGCACGATTTTTGCCTCAAAAAGGCTGAGGAAGAGTATTTTTTACAGCAAATTTTGTGTCTTAATTTTTTTTTCTCTTCTTCAACATCAAAGCATTGTTCACATGTGCGTCGTCTATGCTTTGGTTCAAACACTTTGCGAAATACTTACCTAATCCCATCTGGCTTGAACATCCGCTCTTGCTTGTGCTTTCTCTCTAACTACATTGGCTTTGATCCCCATCTATTTCTTTCTCACTGCTTCAAACTTCTTAGGGTGTTGGATATGATTTATATAGATTTTACCGCATACCCCAGTGAGATAGAACAACTTGTTCTCTTAAGGTACTTAGCACTTGATATTCTGTGGAACCCCTTCACTGGTGAACATTCTAGACTCTACTTACCAACTTCAATATCCAATCTAAGGAATTTGGAAACCCTTATTCTTCGTACATCAGTTGCATATGTTAGTTTACCGCGGAGTATTTGGAAGATGGTAAAATTGAGGCATATTTTAGTTAGTGGAAGAGGGATATTTGTAATTCAGAGCTTATGTCGTAATGATCACTTTCCCTTATCATTGGATAACCTACAAACACTCTCTTGTGTAGATCCTTGGTCTTGCAAGGATATTTTCTTGGCTGGGACTCCCAATCTCAAGAAGTTGGATTTTCATGGAGCTATTTTTAAATGTTTGGAAATGTTGAAGTTTCCTGACATAAGCTGCCTAAACTATCTCCAAAAGTTGAAATTGTGTTCCAAAGATGATGGATTGAATTTCAATGATCTTAGAAGTGTTAAGTTCCCACCAAATCTTAAACAACTAACTTTGAAGGGAGCATATGTAGAGTGCGATGAGGTTTCAATCTTGGGAAAGTTACTGCCCAATCTTGAGGTTCTCAAATTATCCGGAATTTATGAGTGGGAATGGGCTTGTGATGCAAGCGAGGTTTTTCCTCGACTTAAAATTTTAAAATTAGAGGGCTGGATGATTGGGAGTTGGCAAGTTTCTTGCAATTACTTTCCTAGCCTTCAGCGATTAGTGCTTTCTGGATTTCAAGACCTTGATATTCCATCTCAAATAGGGGATATACCCACACTTCAGATAATTGAGGTGCGTCGGTGCTACCATTCTGTTGTGAAATCTGCTAGGAAAATTAAGGAAGAGCAAAACAGCATGGGAAATAATTGGTTGCAAATTATTGAATCTGACAATGTGCCGGAGTGGTAAGCGTATTAACACAATCAAATTATCTGTTTGTCCTTTAATTTTCTAATTTATGTTGTTATTCTTTTATTTATTTATTTTTCTCACAAACTTAAAAAATAAATAAATAAATACCTAGACCCCTCACAACCCAAATAGTGGGAGATTTTTAAGAATTATAATCTTTAAAAAGATTGAAACAAGCTTGTGAACTAGCCCACATTTAAATGGCTATAAACACAGCACAAAGAATTACTTCTTTGGAAGAAAGCAAGCACTTCTTAACCCTTCGTTTGTTTAGGCGGAAAATATTTTTTACATTTTTTGCTATTTGGTACCAAAAAAAAAAAAAATCAATGGAAAACATTTCCGCGGTTAATAGAAAATAATTCTATTTAGGCGGAAAATGTTTTCCATGTTTAAAAGGGAAAAAACCGTTTTCTGAATTAAAGTTTTATCAGTGACACTACATTATCATCACTACCATCACCTCCATCACCACCACCATCACTGCGACAACCACCATCACCATCATTGCCGTCACCACCTCCATCACCCCACGGCCACCGCCAACGCCACTACCATCTCTACCTCATTACTACCACCACCACCACACCACTACCACAGTCGCTGTTGCCGCCGCCACCGCCACCACCACCACCACTACCACTGCTACTGCTACACCACTACTGCCACCACCACCCCTAACACTTCCACTTTTACCTCCACCCTACTGCCGACACTATCACTACCAGTAATGTAACTTTTAGTACATTAATTTTAATAACACAATCAAATGTAGGAAAAAGTTTTCTATAGAAAATATTTTCTACCGAAATAAACAGAGCATATGTTTTTATTATTTTATGGGCCACCAAAATGATGTTGCTGCAACTAATTTTATATGTGAATTTCATTTTTATTTTACAGATTTATACATGGGTTCGAGGAAATAATATGAAAGTACTTGAGGCACTTCCTCTTCTTTACTGCTATTTTTCACTTCATGGGCAAAGATACTCCATAGAGGGCTGTAGCTGAACAAAGCGGAGTGGATAAACTCACGTGTATGAATCACTTAAGTTGAATTTGGATTATAGATTTTGATTGGAATTTGGATTGGAATAGAAAAAAGGTAGGTAAAATGTAGTATATTTCATTCAAGTTTCACATATTTTCCCTTTCATTTTTCAAATTTCTATCTAAATTCATAATCTAAATATAGCCCTATAGCTTTCCTGTATATTCATTCTTTGTTAAAACCTAAATTTGTAACTTTTGATTGTGTTAGGGATAAATCCCACCTTACAAACTCTTATACCCATATTGAAATATAAATCCATGTGACAAATTTACGGGGCAGAGAGGTAAATCCGTGGTGTATAACGGAGAGCAAATACATACATCTAACCATTTATCACTTTGATAAATTTTTTAATATCATTACTAGTATCAAATAATCATTCCACAAAAACAAAACATACATCTAAAAAGTCTCAAAATATTCTCATTATTACAACAAGGAGCCAGCAATGCTATAGACCAAACTCTTATACCCATGTTGAAATATAAATCCATGTGACAAATTTACGGGGCAGAGAGGTAAATCCGTGGTGTATAACGGAGAGCAAATACATACATCTAACAATTTATCACTTTGATAAATTTTTTAATATCTTTACTAGTATCAAATAATCATTCCACAAAAACAAAACATACATCTAAAAAGTCTCAAAATATTCTCATTATTACAACAAGGAGCCAGCAATGCTATAGACTCCCAGTGGGGGTGACCCCCCAGTGACCCCCAGTGCCACGTGTCGGCCTGGGGTTGGCTGAAAAAAGAAAAAAAAAACTGTTTTTTGGACCAATGGGAAGGGACACCCAGCACCCCCACTGGGGGTCCGAAGCTTTATTCTTTTTTATAATACTGAATTGAGTTATCAAGTGCCATGTATAACATTTTTCATTTTGTCAAGGGTGATACTATATAGGAGCAGGGGGCTATGTGGTTAAAGCCGAACAAAGCTGAGCTTATTTCAACCAGTGTGCTGGTTTTTATTTCATTAAAGTAATGTCCACTTCTAAATTTCTAGTTGTTCTAATGGTATTTGTTCTTAAAATGGTTTTTTTTAATTTTAAATATATATATATATATATATATTTAGTGAAGAAGACATCCCTTAACAGTTTTTAATGTATAAAGTCTTTCGAATTAAACTTTCATGGATCATGCAAGAATTGAGTTCGATCATGTGACAGTGGCGATTGATCAGTGAAGGTTGAATGTCACTAGAACCTTTAAAACTATTTCAAGCATTGGCAATAAGGACATAAATATCATGCAGTTTTATTTTTATAGATGAATTTTTTCTTTTTGTTATAATATTTGATTTTGTTCAAACTGAATGCTCTTTGTCAATGGTGTAATTCGGCTATTTTGAGATGCAGGGAGGGGATATGGAGGGTGTAATTCGGCTAGTCTGAGGTGTGCAGCATAGGGTTAAGTGTCGATTGGATTTTCGAAGGCTGAAAGTAGAAGAAGAACAAATCTGCTTAATTGGAGATTTGGGATTGCAAATTTTGTGATCATGCTGTCCAGCATGTGGAGAAAGAGTATGTCAAGAAATTAGATTTAAGATTGGGCTAATTACATTGGTGGTCCCTACATGTTGTCCCTTGTATTATTTTGGTCCCTCCACTTTCAATTGACTCACACTACAACAATTTACACATTTGGCGACCACTTTTGCCGACCAAAAAAATTTTAGTCGCAAAAAAATGACATTTGGCGACCAAATATTAATTAGTCGCGAATGATCATTATTTTTGGCAACCAAATATTATTGGTCGCAGAAGGTTATATTTTGGCGACCAAAAAATATGTTGGTCGCAGAAAGCGGTATACTTTTGCCGACCAACTACAAATTTGGTCGCGGAAGGTCACATATTTTTTGGCGACCAAAAATTTGGCCGCAAAAAACTTATTTTCAGCAATCAAAAAAAATTAGTTGCCAAATTAATACTTTTAGCGACTAATATTTTAGTCGCCGTTGATTGAGATTTGGCGACTAAAAAAATTTGTCGGCGATAGTACCTGTTTTTGCGACTAATTTGATTTTTGGTCGCCAAAAATTTGGGGGGAAATTTGAAACATGGGCGGGAATTGAATTTCAGAAAAAAAAAAAATAAAGCCTTGTCTCTATCTAAAAAAAGCCCTAATCTGTGTCTCTCTATTGGCCCGCTCCTCTCTTTTTCTGTGTTCTCTATCTTAATCGGTGCCCACTCTCTCTAGCTCACCGAAGTCCCTCACCACCATTGCTCACGTCGATCGCACGTCGCCACCGCTGCAAATCGCCATCGCCAATAATTTTCTACTTCACACTGTTGATGCATCAATCGAACCCAGATTGGGGTAATTTGGTTTAATATGGTGATATGTAATAAGTTTCTCCTAATATTGGATCCCTAGTAATCAATTTCCTTTGTTGAGAAAGAACCCAGATTGGATGTCTCTCTTTCCTTTCTCTCCATCGGCATCAATTTTCTTCCTATGAATGAAGATCAATCGAAAACGACAACATCGATCGCCTCCTTCTCGTCCATTCCGATCTCTTCTGTCTCATTCACCAGGTAACTAATTCGTACTTCTAGAGAGAAATGAGATAGCAATTTCATATTTGATCGAACAATGGTTTGTGGTTTTTCTGAAAATTTTATTGCGGTTTTTCTGAAAATTTGCTACACTTATCAGTGATTTGTGGCGAAATCCCAACTTCTTTGCTCTTTATTCTCTCATTGTTGCTTACTGTGTCTTTTCTTGATTTCAAATTGCATCAATCTCCCAATTTTAGGATTCATAGATATCTCTTTTAGTCCGTATGAGAAATTTATTTTATTTGATTCAATAATCGTCAGTCATCGAAGTTCTTTGTTTTGATATCTCGCAATCGATGGCTTTATTAGAATGTATAAAGCATTTGATTCAGTGTTGGTTGAGTGAAGCATGTGAACCATGATAGTTTTGTCTTGTCATGATCAAAAGCTTCTATTTTCTGCCAATTTTCGCACTACTCGTTTTGTTTTTTTTCCCCTTTTTTTATTACTTTTTTGTTTGATGATGAGCATTTTACATTTGAACCCCATTTTCTCTTATATTTTCTGCTTTATTTTGTTTCTGAACTAAATACTGAAAAATCTCACCTATCTAATCTCAGGTATGTCGTTCACTTCAATGTAATTGTAATTTAAAGCTTCAATTTGTTGCTCTCTCTCTGTCTCTATTTGTACCCATTTGGCATTGTCGGTTGCGTCCAAGTCACAGCAACCTCTTGATTTACCTTTAGTTTAAGGGGAAGTTGAATGGCCCTTGCTTATAGATTAGTATGACCCAACTAACATGCTGAACGCTTATCATACGCTTATTATTATAAGAGGGTAATATGTCAGCATTCTTGGTGTTTAGCTCCCTGACATCATAAGAACATTTTTTTTTGAATGCCTTCTAGCATTCTCTTGTATGGAACCCACTTTTCTTCTTCTTTCTGCTCCTTTATTCATAAACAAAGAACTTGCATGATATCAACTAAATCAAATTATACAAATTGACTGGAAAGTTTTAGATATGTTGAGATTTAATAACTGTTCTTTCTTGATGGTAACTAAGGTTTATTTATTATTTACTTTATCATTAGGACTATACTAACCTTGGAAAGGAATTGAAATATGATAGTGTCTGACAGCTGCTAATCCTGCTGTTGATGACTTCATTAGGAGTCCCACTCTTTCATTCTAAGTTGCATTCTCTTTTTATTATTAATTTTTTTTTCTTTTCGCAGATATGTGACAGGTTTATTAACCGTAGGATGGCGCAGAAGTTCTATGACAAAGCTCTAACGATTGGCCTAAAAGGTTATGCTCAATTGTATATCTACATCACCCTATCATCAAGTCCTATTTTTTTATTTTTTTATAATTACCATAAAAAAAGGAAGGGGTGACCATTGGTTCAATGGTAAAAAACCTGGGCCTAATAACCTTGAGGTTGTGGGTTCAAGTCTCCGGGCAACCGCTTTGTACATTATGCCAAAGGTTAGGCGTGTACCCAATCTTTCCCCTCCCAAACACATTAATGTGTACTAATTGGGCGTTGTTTTTTTACCAAAAAAAAGGTGGTCTTATCACATTGAATTTCCGTATTTGTGTGTTTCTCAATGCAGTTATCTTATGTATTGCTTCTTTGTATCTCTCTTTCTCTTTTTTTGTATTATCACCTCTTAAGATTTTAGACTGTGTTTCTTATGTTACCAAATCTGAATTTCATTGTAGGCACCAGACCGTCATATCCCGTCTTGCAGATTGGGAAGGCATTGAAAAGGTCATATGTGTTCTCTTCTTAATCTGTTGCTATAGCTTCGTCTCGTCTCATTAAGCAAACAGTAATTCTACAAATAAAATTAAAGAAGCAAAAATCTTAAGGTTACAAAGTTGTTATCGGGCCTTTACTGAGGATAGCGTAGTTATCTCGTGAATAAATATGAATTAGTGTTGGTATGGAGTCTCCATTGGGATGAATGCAGGTATGGAGTCTACTGATTTTCTTGTTTTAAATTATAGATTATCTTGAAATCCTTTGTTTTACTGTTTCAAATTCTAATAATTGGGAAGTTCACCTAAAATATTAAAGTAAAATTCAAATAATCTATTTTAATTTCAAGAGAATTATGCACTGTTTCATAGTACATGATCTTAGTGAAGTTGCACAAAACTCCCATGTTTTAGCTGTCTGGCCCAAATGGACAGAATTGAAAATCTTCATGCCTTTGGTATCATGTACACAAATGCATCCACATGGATTTTGGGTATTTCCTTGTCGGCCGCTTCACTAATTTTTGAAAGTAAGTAACCCTCAAATTAGAATTAATGGCTCCACAGAACATTGCAAGAAGTTGTTGCATGTCTCCATGAAAAGAGGACTTGACAGACCTCCAACTCAGCCTCTTGACTGAAGTTAGATTGTCTGTATCAGATAGTTGGGCATCGATGGTCCTCATCACTTTTTGGCCATATTACTTTCAAAGTGTAAAACTATTCTTTTCTTTTCTTATTATATATATATATAATGCTTAATAAAAAGATGAATTAAGACAAGAAAAAGAAAAAAGAAGCAGTAGGAGCAGCAGGAAAAAAGTAACCCTGAAACTGAGGTTTTTTGTTTACATCATAACCATATAGTAGGAGTAATTACATAACCTTCATTTGTGTTGAATTCTTTTGGGTTCCTTTGAGAGATGCGTCAATTGCTTTGTTTGGTCCAGTGACAAAGCATAGCAAAGGCAGAACATCACAGCTTGTCTAACAAAGGGACGGTCCTTAAGATATGCAACAAGTGGCTCAACTTAAAAATTTATGGTTTAAGCTTATTGTAGATAAGTCCCTCTTCTTCTTCTTCCTTTTTTATTTTTTATTTTTATCCAACATAAGAGATGGAAATAAAAAGTACAAAAAGGAGGGGTTTATTGTAGATTGATTCAATAATTTTGGGTGACATTATCTTTATTACTTCTGAATCAATCCAAACACGGATTTTTTTTTCCCCCTTTTTTTAAAGTCTAGTTAGGAGTATAAATAACCTATGCATGTGTATAGACAAATATTCCTTTTGAAGAGATGGATTTCAAGCAGCAGGCTTTCCTGTACAAAAGTGCGAAGTGAATGATGAATCACAAAATATCATCCATGGCAGTTCTAATTTTCCCTTAATCATCCTTTTAAAATCATGGATACCCTTTGGATTGAAGATCTTCACCTCGTTAAAGTTGGTGATCTGAAGTTGGTCAAGATTCCTAGATTCTTGCCATCTTTTTTTTTTTTTTTTCTTCCTTTTTCTCTCTTACCAGAAAAATAGCAAACTTACTATTGCCAGTTACAGCTTACATGCAAGAATAGCCCTCAATATTTTCACCAAAACCCTGTTCTATAACCAGAAAAATAAAATAGTTTCAAATATCTATATTTCTCATAGAAGCAATGCCTTTTTTCATGTCTAGTGATTTTTGTTCAGAAATGCCTTGATTAGAAATGCCTTCATTTCTCATAGAAGCAATGCCTTGATTAGAAATAGATATATTCATGAAATGGTAACCAATTGAAGATAAGTGAAGTGAGAACATACTAAGATGGTTTGATCATGTTCAACGAAGACCTATAGATGCAACAATAAAGAAGAGTAATATGGTTATGGTAAATGAAAATGGTAAAGGGAGGGAAAAAGTGAAAAAGATGAATTAGGTGGAAGAAGAGAGGATTGAGGAGATTAGTGTTAGGTTGGTGGGCAGAACTGGTGGTGGGGATGGATCTGCCTCTGCCCAGTGGGTTGATGGATGTTATTAGGTGGAAAACATGACTATCAACAATCAAGGAGAATCAAGAAATTTTTATTATTTCTAATGCAATTTTTTCCCTCTTTCTTGCTTCCCTTTCTTTTTCCTAATAAGTAAACATATGCCAAAAAGGCACATTAAAAGGAGGTGCAATCCATGTATAGAGGGTGTACATCAAAAGAGAAGCTAGATATTTTTGTATGAAACAACAATAACATAAATTGTCTACAAATCCCATAAATGGTTCAAGGAAGAATTAATCTTGTTAAGAACAAGCTTCTCCATGCTACCAATGGACTTTCAATTCCCTTTTCCCCAAATGCACAGATGAGGAGGACCTGCATTGGTTCTAGTATACTGAGGATGTTGACCTTCAAACATATTTGTTTATCTTAAGCTTGAAAAAAAAGATAGAGGTGTTTTCTTTTTGGGTATCATGTAACATATTTCAGAAAAAGGAAAAGAAAAACCTGTTTGAAAAGAATGCTTTTGAAGCCATATGGTCCTGTTGTCAGTTTTGGCTACCAAACTATTGCTTTGACAGGGCTCATAATAGGTAAGGTTAAGCTTATTCAAGTTGCTGTTAGCTTAATTGTTGCTGCTAACTCTTGTGTAGGAATGCAGTTTTCATCATAGTCTGAACTATAAGTGGAAAATGGCTGGTGCAAAAGATAGGCAAAGTGTTATGGATTGGAAAAAGCAAAAAACAGTTACTCCTATATGGAGACCGGTCTGTACAAAATCTAGTTCCTCTGAAGGTGAGGTTTCTAGTATAACAACTGCTTAACTAATTCTTTGTTATCCTATGAGCCACTACATGAATTTCTTTTATATTCAGTTGTCAAATTGCTTATTCTCTTTTCATTTTACATTGATTTATTTTTTAAAGTAAAGGTGAAGAATGAACTTGTCCTCGCTCCCTCGCTGGCCACTACTACTATTGTGTTCCAAAGAAAGATCTTATATTCTTTTTCTTTTTTTAGTAATAATAATAATAAAAAAATGGAGCAATGACATGACTTTTCTGTATCTTCTTAATCAAATAATGGAAGTGAAAATCTTAATCAAATAACTGAAGTTTTTCACTTCCATTATTCCCATTGCTGATCAATTTAAGGACAATAAACAGATCATGTAGAAAGTATGCAAAACCTTGGATGTTCTGTTGTTTAACTTGTATCTAGGTGGCTCATGGGTTAGTTGATGTGAATTTGCAAAATGTTTATTGAAGGAACTGTAGGTTGAGTTTGAAGATTTGCATGATGTGGGTAAATGTGGAAAGCAAGAAGATGGAATTAAAGTCCTTCCACTCCTATGAAGGTTTTCACCCCTATTCCCTTTAAAGCTGCTCTTACGAGAATTCCTTTACTACACTCAACTTGAAAACATGGAAAGGGAGTCACAAGCCTCCTTCCTTTAATCCATTAAATGCTTGTCTCCTTGGCTTCAGATTTCTAGAGAAGATTGGCAGAAACTTACCCGGTGTTCACTATATTCGGGATGTTGCAGATGCTGATTCACTGATATTATCACTGGTAATTTTCGTTTGTTACCCTTATCATTTATCTATTTATCATATTTTGGTTGTCAACTTAATTCTACTTTCTTCAGGTTAATAATATGGTGATGAAGCTAATGTTTCTGTTGTAAAACTCTACATACACAAGCTTGTTAAGTTGTATTTAACAATAACCGAATGGAAAATGCTATGAGTTTCTTTTGAAAATAGCTAGATTTTTATTTTTTATTTTTTAAATTAGGATCTATAGAGGGGATTTTGTCACACACTGGTTTTCATTTTATAAGAGAGAGCACAGAAGGTGGTTGTTGTTATTGGTGGTTACATTGGCATGGAGATTGCTGCCGCAGCTGTTGGTTGGGAACTTGATACAACAGTATGTCTGTGTTTCATTCTGGTTTTGCTATGTTAAGGTTTGAGATGGTAATTTTTCATTGATCTAATATCTGTTAAACTGACTGAGGTATTTGGAGTTTTTGTCAATTCATACCCTTTTAAATCTATAACTAGTAAGATTTTATTGTTCCGAGTGGATGCAATGAACACTTAAAATTTGTGATTTTCATTGTCTACCTTTTTTTTCTTTTTTCTTTTTTGGTTGTATTAGATGGCCCTTCTATTCTGTATTTTAGGTGATCAGAATTAACATTCTTGTTTAATAATAGCTTTTTTCACATGTTTTCTAACTTTTTGATGGTGCACACACCATATCTCTGACTTTGTAATTTTATAAAGACTCTTATTTTCATTAAACCAGTTACACCCTATCTCATTTATCCTTTTTGAACAGAGCCTTGTCCCAATTGTTTAGAATTGGCTATCTGACTGTACATTTCTAGGGCCACATGTCTAGCTATTAAGTAGTTTCAGTTGAGTTTGGCTTTGTTTTAGAGTTTTTAACTGATTTGAGTATATACAGATGGCAGGAATTTCTGTTGTGGGTCGAAATTATTATGGTGTGTTCCCAATGTTTCCTTATTTTGCTGTGGGTCGAAAATAAGTAGTGAAATTTAAGTAATTTCTGTTCTGCAGAGAGGAGCCATTGTCGAGAAACTTACAGAGGAGATTTTGAGGGACTGGGACCATCTAAAGGAGCTCCTCTCTTTTTGTGAAGGTAAGTGTCGTCAATTGGTCATAGTAGTCCTGTTTTCTTGGATGATATTGTAAGTCTATTCAGTGCATTGCGTTCGTGCAGCTCAAAGACAAATAGGGGAGACCTCTCTGAATGAAACGAGTTCCAGATCTCATCAAATTCTCCGACTGGTATGAAACGAGTTCCCCATTTTTGTCACTGAAGCTGTTATTTATTATATGACTTTAGGATTCGTCATACTAATTTTCCCTTTCATTTGTAGGTTCAATTGCAGCATAAGATAAAACAAGAGGCAGAGCAATTTCGACAATGGAAGGCCTCTCATGAGAAGGAATTGCTTCAGGTACTTGACGTTTCCCAGTTATCCATGTAACCTGGGATTCTTCATTTTTAAAAAGCAAACATGTTTCACTTATAAAAGTTTTAACTTATGCATGCTTCAGATTTAATTAATCAAAAAGGAAAAAAAAAGAAAAAGAAAGAGGCAAACAAGTTGAACATGTTATGCACGGATATCATTGAATGTATTGTTGATGACGTTTTTCTCAAGCAGCTAAGGAAGGAAGACAGAAAAAATCAATATGAGCAACATAAACTACAAGCTTTAAACCAGCTTTATTTCTTCGTTATATTCATTTTTTTTTAATCTGGAGATGCTTGATAATGTTTCTTATAGTACTCATATAGATTATCTTGCCAGGTTTTGTAATGTCATGTAAGATGAGTGATTTTGGAATTGGTTGTTTTGTTTGGTTAATGCTAAAAAGTCTGCCACTTGACGCCAAAGAAATTCGAGGGTCCTATATATGGGCTCCTGCTAATGACGAATTGATTTTTCTCTATTTAATTATGCATTTTTCTTTCCTACAAGTATGACATAATTCTCTCTATTGCAGCTAAAACTACCCTATCAAATTGTGGCTATTGTTTCCGGTGCTTTGAATGATGCAGCTGCAAAGAAGTATGATTTGGAAGGATGGTTTCCTGCATCCAGCACTTACAGAGAACTTGTTTCCTGTTCAAACTGCACTGACTATCAGTCCAGGAGATTAGAGATTCGATATGGGTAGAAAAAGGGTAGACTAGTAGTTTTAGTGGATTGTTTTGTGGCTGTTGCCCATGGTTTTTTTATCACAGTTGGAGGTGTCCAATTGTGGTTTTTTCCACGTTAAATCGTTGTGTTTCTTTGTTTTGATTGTTTGATTGGGATTGTTATATTCTGCTTTAAATTGATACATAATCACAAATCAACATCTAGGGGATTTCTAGATTTTTCAAGGGGAGACCTCTCTGAATGAAACGAGTTCCAGATCTCATCAAATTCTCCGACTGGTATGAAACGAGTTCCCCATTTTTGTCACTGAAGCTGTTATTTATTATATGACTTTAGGATTCGTCATACTAATTTTCCCTTTCATTTGTAGGTTCAATTGCAGCATAAGATAAAACAAGAGGCAGAGCAATTTCGACAATGGAAGGCCTCTCATGAGAAGGAATTGCTTCAGGTACTTGACGTTTCCCAGTTATCCATGTAACCTGGGATTCTTCATTTTTAAAAAGCAAACATGTTTCACTTATAAAAGTTTTAACTTATGCATGCTTCAGATTTAATTAATCAAAAAGGAAAAAAAAAGAAAAAGAAAGAGGCAAACTAGTTGAACATGTTATTTATGGTATGCACGTATATCATTGAATGTATTGTTGATGACGTTTTTCTCAAGCAGCTAAAGAAGGAAGGCAGAAGAAATCAATATGAGCAACATAAACTACAAGCTTTAAATCAGCACCAGAAAATGGTAAAGATTTCTTTCGTACAAGTGCTTCAGTAAAGTCTAGAAGCAGCCCTGGAACTAGTAGTAGACTAGTAGTTATATTTTTGGATGGGTGTGTATAGAAAATATTTAGTAGACTAGTAGTTATATTTTTGGATGGGTGTGTATAGAAAATATTTAGTAGACTAGTAGTTATATTTTTGGATGGGTGTGTATAGAAAATATTTAGTAGACTAGTAGTTATATTTTTGGATGGGTGTGTATAGAAAATATTTAGTAGACTAGTAGTTATATTTTTGGATGGGTGTGTATAGAAAATATTTAGTAGACTAGTAGTTATATTTTTGGATGGGTGTGTATAGAAAATATTTAGTAGACTAGTAGTTATATTTTTGGATGGGTGTGTATAGAAAATATTTAGTAGACTAGTAGTTATATTTTTGGATGGGTGTGTATAGAAAATATTTAGTAGACTAGTAGTTATATTTTTGGATGGGTGTGTATAGAAAATATTTAGTAGACTAGTAGTTATATTTTTGGATGGGTGTGTATAGAAAATATTTGGTAGACTACTAGTTATATTTTTCGGTTGATGTACATGGATAAAAATTTTAAACATAATAACAAGTATTTGTTATGTCTTAAATTTTTATGTTAGATGAAATATGTAGTTTGGAATTATTTGTGGATGAAAACTTATAATAGTTGCTGATTTTAATTAAACAGGTTCAAAAATGGTTGATCTATGTATTTTGTTGAATGTTCATGATTCAATTTATTTGTTGGTTTGAATGATTTTTGCAAATTACGGATTATATTGAATAAATTGGATGGATTATTATAAATTACAGGTTTATTTTGTTGGATGTTGGCGACCAAATGTGACAATTGGCGACCAAATTAATTTTGGTCGCAGAATGTCACAATTTGCGACCAAAATTTTTAGTCGCGGAATGTGACAATTGGCGACTAAACTAATTTTGGTCGTGAAATGTCACAATTGGCGACCAAAATTTTTGGTCGCGAAATGCGACAATTGGCGACCAAACTAATTTTGGTCGCAAAATGTCACAATTGGCGACCAAAATTTTTGGTCGCGAAATGTCACAATTGGCGACTAAACTAATTTTGGTCGTAGAATGTGACAATTGGCGACTAAGAAATTTGGTCGGCAAAAGGCAACTTTTCGCGACCAAAATGTTTTAGCGACAAAATGGATTAGTCGCAGTAAATAAATATTTAGCGACCAAAAATTTAGTCGGCAAATGTAACTTTTCCCGACCAACGAAAATTTTGGTCGCGAATTACTTTTGCCGACCCTCAATTGGCGACCAAACTAGCGACAAAAAAAATTGGTCGCGGATAACTTTTGCCGACCAAAAATAGACTTTTAGCGACTAATTTTTTTGTTGCCAAAAGTGTTAATTCTTGTAGTGTCAATCTTGATCCTTGATTTTATATTGTGTCAATTTGGTCCAATTAATAATAGTGTTGGTGTTTTTGACAAAAAATAATCACTGACTTGGTTGAGGTTAACTTATTGAATATAGTAAATTTATAATTTTATTTTAAAAAATATTACACATGTCACTTATATGCATATTTTTCAAAGAAAATACTAAGAGTTGTAATCAATTGGACCAAATTGAAACAAAATCATAAATTCGGTGTCAAAGTCGAGCTAAATAAAATTACAGGGACTAAAATGACACAAGAATAAAAGTATATGGATTACTAGCGCAATTTGCCCTTTAAGATCTAATGCAACTTTTACTGTACTTTTTGAGTGATTTGCCTTCCCTCCACTTCTAGTCTATTTATACTCTTGGACAAATTACATTAAAAGTCCCAGTAGTTTGACGTTTCTATCACTTTCGTATCTGACATTTCAATTATGATATATTTGACTTTAAATTTTGAATCTCATTCTAAATAAGGACAATTAAAGACATTGTTACTCCATCAATTTGATAATGATGTGGTCGTTTACGTACCAAAATATTTTATTTAAAAATCAAGGAGTAACTACTACTCCATAGAATAGCGATCAAGATTAGGTGTCAATCCAGAAGGATTAAAGATAAGAAATAAATTTAATTTAGAAATTTAGAAGTATAACCGAGTTGTTATGAATTTTTGGAGTGAAAATTAAACTATTAATTACGTGAAATGAGATGAGAAAAATAGTTTAGGATTTCGAATCCACCACTGCCCATGTAATTGAGAGTTGTTGTATTAATTTGTAAAAAAATCTTTAATTTGGATACTATGATGTATCTTGGCCTAGATACTTTGTAAAAATAATTTTTGCATAATGAAATCCGAAAGCACGAACTATTTTCGCTTATCACGAACTGTCTCCCTAAATTACACTAAACTATTTTGAAGCACAACCCGTCTTTCTTGGCATTACTCATCTAATAATTTTATTACACAAACACTGAAAACCATTTGTATAACGAATATAAACATTTATTATACCAGCAAATCTTCTAACGTTATACAAAGTATCCAAATTAAATCAAAACTATAGAATTAAATACAACTCATTCCAATTACTTGATCAGAATTTTATCTCAACTCTAAGATAAGGAAGTTAGTTCCACATACTCATGAAACTATCACTCTGAAAAATGTGCATTCTAAACTCTCGCACTCTCTCTCTCTTTCCTTTGTTCTACGAACTTCCTCTCCTCTTTTCCTTTGCTTCGAGCTTCTCCTTTTATAGATGAAAAATCTGTAAAAGAAGGTAAATAAAATAAATAAATATAATATAATATTATAATATATAAATATAGGGATTGTCAGGTTGGTTAAAATTTTTCAACCTCATTTATTACTTTTTGTGCTTCTTTCTGCTTCTTTCTATTTGTTTTCTTTATTTTTTCTTTAATTTTTATTTTTTACTTTTAGTATTATAACAATATATATAATTACATAATATATCTATACACAATTCTGGTGTCGGTGAAACCCGCACCTTTTTCTTATTTATCTTTCATTTTTTTATTTATATAATATAATATAATATAACATCAATCATATTAAAATATAATATATAATAATTTATATATAAACACTAATTGACTAGTAAATCCCAATTTATCATCTTGTAGCCCATGTGGTCCTAAGTTATTTCTTTTAAACTGTTGGTCCTTAAGATTGGTTGTTTAATATTTTGTCATTGATGTGTAAATTTGAATTTATAGACGCGTGTTTGTTTATGGGAATAATGGTGTTTGTGGTTCACGTTTCCATGAAAAGCGTACTAGTGGGTTTTTGTATGGGGTTCGTGATACTGAGTTATGTGGGACTGGGACCACATAGTTTGTGGGTGTTATTTTGATGTGGGTGCGTGAATCGGGCATTGTGTGCGACCCGGAAGTCCAAATGTGCAGACCTAGTACACTAAATTAGTTTGACCTGACTAACTGTTTTGGAAGTAGGAGTCATCCCCTAATTTGGGAAACCGAATCAGTGGTGAGGGGCGACGTGAACCCTAGCATTTGTTACGATTTCCCACTCACAATTTGCAAATTCAAATCAATCTAATCCCGAAACAGATGGAAGATATTGATGGAATTATTGACCTAGGGTTTGTGCATATCAGAATTGGTGTGGTTATACTTGTCGTTGAGTGCTATGGCGTGAAGAACCCTAGTTCGATTGGTCGGACGGAGTTGGGGACTGTGAAACCAGCAGGTTAAAGTGGTAGTGAACTATATTCCGTGACGTGAACATGAACATGAACAATGTCTGCACAAGTCGTATATTCGGTAGGTGAAAGTGGTAATGAACTATGGTTTGCGATGTGAACGTAAACAATTCCGCGACGTGAACCTGAACGTGAACAACGTAAACAATGTCTACACAGGTCATATGTTTGACAGGTCAAAGTGGTAGTGAACTATATTCCGCGACGCGAACATGAACAACGTGAATAATGTCTACACAAGTCAAATGTGGAACATACCTATGCAAAGCCGATTGTGTTCACGTTAGAATCAGCAATGGTGGACTATCACAGAAGATGTTGGTCGCAAAACACAAACCCTAAAATAGATTATATATACATTTCCAAAAAAATTTCACACCTCCAACCCCCCCACTGTAGACACCTCATTTTTGACAGCCCTTACGACTTGGACGCCCTTGCATGCACACTCGATGATGAGTTTATGTGCTCTCCAAGTGTTCGAAGTCCTCAGCGAAATGCCACAACTTTGAGCCTTTCATATGCTATCTTAGAATAGCCAAGCCTATCTTAGTTGCATTTTTACATGTGTTGCATTAGGCATTCTTGACATAACTAGGATCATGCATGATTACTAACTAGCTTCTGTTTTGGCTCGGAGTACTTGGTGAGTGCTTATACTTTAGCATCATTGCATGTGTGTAAGTGACTGCCATGATAGCATGCTTGCCATGAGGCTAACTGCTTAAGTGATTAACTGCTTGAATGCCTGTGGGTGAAGGCTTGATTGCTTGAATTGGAACAACTCGATGATTGTGAGTTTTTAAGCCCACTTGAAGTGGCAAAATCATGTTTTCTAAGCCCACTTGAGGGTGCCAAATTCGTGTTTTAACCTACTTGCGAGTAGCACTTTCAAATCACTTTAAAAAACAAACATGAGTTGTTTTGTTCCAATCTGCGTGATTGAGTGTCTATACTTGTATGCTGTGCGCATCACATAGTAAGTTAGCTAATAAACTGGAATAAGAACACATGTGTTTTCAAAAACAACATATCATGTTAGTAGAAGCCGATCCTTTGGTCGGGCGAGCAGGGGTGCTCATTTCATGACCTTCCCCTCTTGTACCCAAGTTCCCGAGCCGAGGCAACTTTGGTGATGACGAGCACGTGGCCTTCGGCATGAGTCAGGGTTTCCTAAATTTTTCAAAACAAAATATTTAGGTAGCGACTCTGAAATCTGGCAAAGCAGTCCATGTTTGGCACTTCTTGATTAAAATCGATTTTCCAAAACGATTTGCCGGATTTGGACTCTTTGGTGATTTATCAATCTTACATTGCACTTTGTAAGATTAGATTCAGAACCGTGACAGGAGTCCGAACTGTAGTAGCTAGAACAACGATTCTCGCCCTCGCGCGCAGAGCGGAGTTCCGGGCGGTCTACACCCCAGTTTTTCGGGGTT